CGGTTAATCTCGGGATCTACGAGACGTTCCGCGAAACGCGAAACGCAGAGATTAACGCGCCGTAAGCGATCGGGAATGATGGAAAACGAGTGTCCCGGTAAGAAGTATAACGGAACATTGTTTCCATACTACGATCAACTAATAGCGCGACAAAGTATCCGGATAGATGCGACCTGGCTCGAATCTCGAGGGGTTCTCGAGTGTTTCTGCATCAGCAGCCACGAGGCAAAGGTGGCGATGGCGGCGGCGGCGGATAGCGTGGCGTGGAGTCTGCGACAGCGAGGCTTTAACCACGAGACACGAGTCTACCAAGACCACCTCTCGTGGGCACGAATTTTCCAGCGACACTCGCGTTAATTTCATCTCCGCCGCGACTTTTCATTTTTCCTCTCGAGTCCTCTCTCGCGTCTCGTTCGTGGCTCGCGAATCGCGATCCCGAAACTTGCACGCGTGATATCCGATAAGGGATTACTCCCCCGCTTTAGCGTATCGCTCTGCGTTCGATATTTCGCAGGCGTGTCCGAGAACAAAGTCTCGTCTGAAATATCCGCGAGGTGTGTTGGTTCGCTGGATTCGCCAACAAAGCAGCTACATACATGCACGTATAAAACGCGTTCCAAATGCGGTCGAGATCTCTTTAAATTCATGAGAAGAGAAGAATGTAGTTCAAGAACTTTCCGAAAAGAGCTTTGAAAAGGAGCGAGTTGCCGGAAGACTCGCGCGAAATCCTCTTTTCCCCCGCGATTCTTCCAGAAATTTCCATCTTACCGGCCAACTAGATCGTTTATTCGCGGTGTTAAACTTCTCGCTGGAAAATTTGATCGGCTCTTTCGCTCGATACCGCGCGCGAAACATGGAGAAACGATCGGTTCTCGTCGTTGGCGATAAGCTATCGGTTCGAACGGCGGCCGAACGAGCGTGCACGATGCGATGCAAATTTCGGAACGGCAGAGCGGGCAAAGTGGAAACGGATCGAAGAGAGCGCGCCGTTAACGGAAACGAATGCCGTGTTCCGTGTTCTCCGCGCGGAATGTACCGAGCGCGCGCGCGTCCGTGCTTTCGCGGAAATAAGGAATTTCGCGAAAATGGAGGTAGAAGGAAATAAACGCGGCGAATAGAAAGATTACGCGGGATAACGTCGGAGACGATCGTGCGGAAGGAATACCGGCAACAAGTTGGCAGTGCAACGTCGCTATAACTCGTTTCCGTATAGACGTCGGGAAAAAGGGGGTAAAAGTAAAAGTAAAAGTAAAAGTAAAAAAGCAAATGTGCCGAAAGTAAACGCGCGAGGAAAGCAATGGCGAGAGCAAAGCGTGAAGAGGTTTCCGTGATTCGTAAATGAAAGTTGTTAGCGCGAAAGGGAAACGCGAGCGAGGCTGGTGACGAGAAAGAGAGCGCGCGATGAACGGAGAATTAAGGGAAGGAAAAATTGCAAAAATATTAAGACAAATGCGGCGAAAACGGAAACGGAAGCGAGGATAGGGATGAAAGCGTGGAAACGGGAGAAAAGGTTCGTTGCACGGAGAAAAGTACAAACAGTGGAGAGCGAATGCTCGAGGGGGTTGCCGGTACTCGTTTTGTAAACTTTTCCCGAAGGGCAGGAGACCTAAAGAGGATATAGAACGAAGGGCGAGAGTGGGAGTGGAAAAGAGTAAGAGGCGGTTCAAGAACCTCGAATTAAAATGCACGACGTTTTCTCCCCTGTTGGATTCAGTTTTCCCTTACCCTGTTGCCAACCACAACCACCCTTTCTTCCAGCTACCTTTTCCCGCAAACTTTCGCGCACGAATCACGGATCGTTCGAGCTGGAAAAATGACAGGGTTGAAAGGGGAATTCCGCTGAAAAGACCCTGTTCCCTTTTATTTCCGCGTAATTCGGCTTTCTCTCCCAACTTTGGCCCTTTAAACGCCGGTGTTAAATACCGTCGTTGATTCGTAGCCTTTCATACTTCGCCATCATTTTTACGCGTATACCGGATCGCTCGAATGGGGCTGGCTTCGTGCTGTCGATAAATCACCCCCTCTCTCTCTCTCTCTCTCTCTCTCTCTCTCTCTCTCTCTCCTTCTGTACGTTCTTATCTTATGTATCTTATCTTATCTTCTATATCCTACGTTCGTATTTCTAATCCTTTCGCGAAAACTACGATGTTCCTTCTTCGTAGTCTCTTCGTCAAATATCGCGTTTTCCATGGAAACCGGGTAAACTGTTTTGGGAAAACTTAAAATACTTTTGTAACCCTTATGATCTCACTAAAAGATACTATTAATAAATCTTCCGCTATTAGGTAACCCGCGTGGAAACTACTTCTGCGTATCTTACGCTTAGAACTCAAATATAGAAGCAAGTGACGAAATTGGATGTACTTCCGATATAAACGACACCGAGGTATAATAATATTTGGCGGCATAAAAGTAGCTACGTTTATACAAACGCTTCGCGACACGTGGCTTGTAGTTGTCGTAATTGTGACATCGTTACCAAACAATTGCGTCTCCTTAATGTTTACGTAATTACGTGTGCGCCAATAATAGCGATATTAATATAATTGTATACTTTTTTGGGGTAACTATCCCTGCGGAGAAGATTCCGATAGCCGCGATATTCTTGTTGGGAAATATCTATTTATCGAACGGGTGACGTAGAGAAATGTCCAAAACGAGACCTGCGTGCGATATAATAAGATCCTTTGCCAAAGTTAGTTGGAAGTTGGGTCAGCTGGTGCAAACGGTCGGAGACACGATTAGCCGCGAGTGTGATTTCCCAAATTACGAGCAAATGCCAGATCGATGTCGCGTTGAAAAGTACGCGACTCGGGGGTATCTCGGCTTGGACGAGTGCGGCGATTTATGCGAACAGGAAACCAGTAATGTAAATTTTTCGTTTCGTAATGTGCATGGCACTGCGCGATACGAACGGGCATGAATACGCCCGTCGAAATATCGCGTCGCTTATCGGTTACGCCCAGTCTGTATCATTCGGGGTTTGTATCGCGATCTGGATAGAAAAAAGTCCTCATTTTCCTAGACACGGTGTAACGCGTGATTCGATAACATAAATTTGCGAGAAACGCGCGTGGTTCAATCGAGCTGGCGTTCACGAAGATGTATCGCGGAATAACGCATCGCATCCACTTGGAGAAGCTCGAGTCGAAAATAATCGACGATTAAGGGACTGGTTACGGCGCGAGAGTCTTTACCGTCCAATAAATACGCGAAACTGTCGAGAGGGGGAAAACCGAAACGGATATCCAAATTCCGAGGGAACCGATAAACGAAAATACAAATTACGGCTATCGTAATTGCTAGGGACTCGTACAGATATCTGTATAAATATATGCATTTTACTCGACGACTTTGTACGAAGGTTACATGACATTCGCTATATAGATTACTCCTTGTTAAGACGCAAATATTCTCGTTATTAAGGTTGAAACCGCAAAGACGATAAGCAAACCGACTACGCGCTCCAAATATGGACATTTCCTGGAATATACGCAACTGTTTCCTTACGCGTATTCGAAGGAAAGAAGAAACGAAGAGGAGTGAGCAAAAGAATAGCCAAGATAGACTGGCCAAAGATGGAGGGAGGGGGGGGGGCGGGGCAAGTAAAGAATAGACGAAGAGATTCGCGATGCTTAATAGTACGTGTTCGGGAGTTGGCTGGCGAACGACTCGAAAGGGTCAGCACCGCTCGCAATTAGCTCGAGGAGGTCGCAAAGTTTCTCAAGGAAATAAAGTTACCGCGTATTGGGTTAACTTGCGTATACAAACATGGCGCGGAGCTAGGTCGGACGTGCAATTTATTTCTCAGGGCCGTACGCGGTTACCTCGCGGAATAACCTCGAGGGCTTTTCTAGCATCGTGACACAGACGCGTACTTATTCGCGATACGCGAACGTCGAGTATGTAAGACGTCCCGAGCTGGGTACTTTTAGCAACCAGAAGCCTATTCCTGTATTAAGTTCGCGCACCAACATCGCGAATGAAAACAAACTACACGCGCGACGTTTGGTAAATTTGCTTCTTTAACTTCGCTAGCAAGGACATCATCGACTTCCGCCTTTCCGCTGTGGCACTGTGCCAAATATCGCGCAAACCAGATACGTCGTTTCTTCCGACAATTTCCAACTCGTCGAACGTTGCTCGCGAATTTTCGTAACATCTTCCACGTGCTCGCGATTCCAAGCGTTGTGTCGGCAGATTGTACGAAAACGACAGTTTGTCACGGTGTTCCGTCCATGTAACTTCTCGCAGCGGGTTCATCGATGAACGCGACGAAAACCGGATGACACGATCGAGATCGCGTGACTGCCCAACTCGTGACGTAAATTGTTTATGAATTACGACAGAATGCGTGCCGTCTACAGCGATAAAACACGAGTTAACCGGCAAAGAACTAGCGTCCGTCGTTTATTTTGTTATCCTGCCCTTGTCCGTTATCTCTATGTATCTTTTTATCTCTTCATCTTTTTTTCGTTAACGAAGAAACGTTAAGACAAAATACCCACCGACGAGATCACGTAATCCGACGAGTAAGGGCGGTAATTTTACGCTTCGTAAAGAGCCACGTTTTCTCGCGTTTCCGAAGCATGACGCGACCATGATACAAGAAAATTTCGAATTACGCGAGGATACTACGAGAACCGTATTATCGTAAATTGCACGTATCCTGCGAGCACTGTCACGACAATCGTACAGACGTTGCGAACGAGAACGCACCCCACCGATCCTGTAACAAAGTATTCCGCGCGATCCACGGAAAGTTGAAGCATCGCTTGCGCATGACACGCTGACGGTAACGAGAAATTAAGATAGCGCGGTATCGGCGGAAATACGGTGTACGCGATGTAGAAGAGTCAATTCGGGGCAAGGATGACAAAATAAATTCGTGCAGCGTATCGTATATCGTACGGACAAATACGGTAGTTTCTTTTACGCGAGAAATATTATTTATGCCCTCGCGAAGGAGTAAAAGAAATTACGACAAACCATCAACTTACGATTTAAACACGATGATGTCGTCGATCGAATATCCCTTCAGCAACTGAAACAAAACCATCGTAATTACTTATTCTATCTTTCTCCCTACTTGTCTAGCGATTCCTACTCGCTCGTAGATTAATAATGCGCTGCCGCTGAGGGGTACCGTTATCACCGACTAGACGAGCGTAAGAGATAACGCAAAATTGAAAGTAACAACTGCGAACCTTGAGTATTAACAACTTTAACGTTATCTCGACGATAATGCATCTGTTGAAAAATTATGGAAAATTATGAAAAATACACTGCGGCAATTATCAATTTCAATTTCGAAAATGAATGTTAATTTAACATGCGAACATTGTTGCGACAAACGTTGGCGCGATTAGTCGTTGCACGGTTCTACCGAAAGTATCGGATCGCGTTTCGTCATTTGCAACCTCGATTCGCCTCGGTTACGGGGATTAAAGGCGTGGGTACGTCGAATCGAGGAGCAAATATAGCGAAACCGCTGCAAGGACCAACTCGCTTTTAATCTCTTCTAATTGCTTGGCCATTTAGGGAAAGGAGGGAAAAGGGAAAGGTCTTTGAACACCGATATCGAGTTAATGATATTTCGAGGAAAACGATGAATCGAGATATTTACCGGATATACGTGGGAATGGGATACCTACAGAGCCGGATATAGCACGAGCTAGGAAAATTAGACGGGAAAAGCTTCGACCAATTTAAATCCCTTTTCGCGGCTTCTATCGACGACCCCTGCTATTTACAAAATATTTTCCTCAAAGCGAATAGAATGTACTTTATAAAACGTAAAAGATGCATCCTACGTATGGCAGTAAAAGCGATTTCACGGTAGCTCGAATTTGGAGCAAGTCCAAGTCGAAAATCGATCGACCTTTAAACTAATCGGGTATATGCTTGCACCGGCCTTACCGGACAATGAAACGAACAAAGTATCGCTCCACCATCGTCCAGAACCTTTTCGATACGAATCTACCCTTGGCAGAAGAGAAATTTATTTCCAGGGAAACCGTATTTCGGTTTTGCGCGAAACGAACGACAACTTTTCGAAATATCGTATCGGACGTTCGCGATGGTCGGGCATAGATTAAAAGGCTGGCGAAAGATACGGGGATCGAGTTAGTTTTAAAGGGTTTAAAAATTCATCGAGGAAGACACATCCGGACAATGGAGCAGAATTTCTCAACGTCTCCTCGGTGAATGGCGAAACGCGTTTTCTCGTCGTAGCGTGATCTACTTTTCGTATGACCGAGGACAGAAAAAAAGAAGGCGATACACGGGAGGAAAGATGAAAAAAGAGGCGGTTAAACGGGTAAAGATACGCGAATGGAAACTCGGTCTCGGATGAATTCGTGTCCTCGAATAAAAAAGGACGCGGCCGTCTCGAAAGAGTGAAACGAGCACGAATATAAGAGAAGCAAATGAAAATGCGTTTGGTCGTGGCGCTTAGATAGTTTTAGACGCGAAATTCGAAACGGCGTAGAATAAAGCGAGAATAGCTCGGAAATTAATTAACTTGGAATAAAAATGCTCGCAATACCCACCGATGACGTACACACACCGCGATGAAATTCGTTTTCGAGCACTCGTTTATGCAACGTTTATGCCGGCAAATCGAATTACGGTATTCGTTGCAACGTGTTTCGGATCCATTGCGATCCAACATGCAACGAATCATTAGAATTTCCAACAACTTTTCCGTCTGGCAAGCATCGAATTGTAAATGCGAAATGGAAGGACGTGGAATAACGATGCCGATTCGTCACGGTATCGATACGCCGTACACGATGCGAAAAGGTAATTCGAGTAGCTGTAGAGAAATTTTTGCGTCGAATAAAGCGCAGTTCGTTTCGTTAAATATTAGCTTTGGCCATTTAACGTCCACGATAACGTATCTTTAGATATGCACGTGTAATGAGGACGAAAATAGGGCAACGATAATCGAGTTCGTTATAAAATGATTCGGTGTGTCGTGGCTGCGATGAAAACACTCGGACAAACGTAGAAAATCGAATTTCCTTTGTTCGGCAAAGGCAACGAGTTTACTCGGTACGGTTTAAGCGGAACTCGTATTTTCGTCGGAAACCACGAATATTATAATTGCGAACGAGAGATCGAGCGAACGCGGGCGCATCGAGAGATACAGGTTTCCTTTTCGCTGCTTTTATTACTTTTTAACCAACTCGACGAGATTCATGCGTCACTAGAGATACGAAGGAAACTCGGTAATAAACCAACACAATACGCAATTTGGTCATTACGGTGAATGAACGTAGTTCTTGAGACCGTTCTTCGACGTTCGCGTTGTAACCGCGGAGCATGGACTAGGCTTAACTGCGCGTTTTGAGTTTCGTTCAAAAGTTCCATCAAGAATCACAGCACGGACGGATACGTTTCGCCGATGGTCCATTGAATCTTTTATGTCGCCATTATGGATCACGATCGTGACGAAACGCGCGTTCGCTGCGAATTCAACGCGGTAAGCCCCGAACAGGCGCGCGTATTTATTTCGACATCGCGCTGGCACATCGGTCAGCGGATTCGCCGCTGATATTCCTACAAAATGTTTCGTCTGCAAAAAGTTTTTGATGAAAAGGGGAAAAAAAAAGAAAAAAAAAAAAAAAAAAAAAAAAAATAATTCGTTCGATCGCGTTATTTTTATCGACGGAACAACGGTACAGCAGGCGCGTAATATCGAAATACGAGTATCGTACCCGCGCAACGCTCGCCGATGCGACGATATCGCGATATTTCTGGGGGGCGTAGCAATTTATGACACTTCGATCTACCGTCGCTCGAGTTAATGCGACAGGTCAACGACATTCTTACGATCGCGCAAGTTATTCCGATAGCCGATTATCTCGGTTCTTCTCGGTTGCCTGTAGTTCGTTTATTTACCAATTAGATCCCATGGACGCGCCGCGACGGGCGAATTTCTCGGGGCAAACAATTCCAAGCTCGATAGAATTTTCCCGCCGTTCGTAGTAAATTTACGGCCGATTTCTACTCGATGCTCGAGTAATCTCGATAACGTCCATGTGGAACGTTGGTTTCGGTGTCGAAGGATGTACAGGCCGTCCATCCACGAATATGTTACGGCTTAATGCCGGGAATCTATATTTCTCGATCAAGCGAGCGTAATCGCGTTACGTAACGGTTGTGTAATGCACGCTTCGCTTTACAAACGGACGGTGGAAAAGATTTCGCTTTCTAGCGAGACGCAGCGACGAAATTTCCATCTCGAGGACCGATTAACGGCGATACCGTATCTCGAATGCCATTAGCATCGGTCTCGGGCGCAAGGGGGGCGACACAGTGGAAGGAAACGTTGGATAAGGCGGTTCGGAGGAACGAAGAAAAATCCGTTTAACGAACGAAAGCGGGCCGAATGTGGAAGAAGCACGAGCGACCGAGGGAAAAATCGTAACGCGAGCATGATAACGCACGGGCATAAAAATAAGCACGCGAGTGGAGGAGAAACAGCGTGGACGCAGAAAAACGATAGTAGATCACAGGTGTTCGAGGAAAGGAAAAAACCAGCAGGCACAGAACTACTAATACCAGTTCCCCTTGAATTCATTCCCGTATTCGGTGTTACGTAACGCTTACCTTTCCCACTTTCCCTCTGCTCTTTCTGTCAACGACGACCGCGCGCACAGGCCGGTTACTCTTCCGTGCTCGCCCACGTGCTAGATACACGCTTCCTCCCTTTCTCGCTCTCTCCTTTTCTCTCTCTTTTCGTCCACTCGTTCCGTCGGCTAAAGCCCACGCGAAACCGACAACCTTGGCCTTTGACGCGCTTCGCACGAGATTCGTACGGAAAGTCGAGGGAGGATGCGTGCCACCGCGAATTTTTCTATTTCTCTCCTTCTTGGCGGAATACACGCGACCGGCGGCAACTCGTTGGTCCGCGTCGCGGGGCGAACGTCGAAAAGGATCGTTCCTATCGAGCGTCCAATCGACCGTTTCTTGACACCGGTCCAGTAACTGACCTTCTCAACGCAACCGGTTTTCGCGTACACGTCTGGCCCTTCCCTCGTGTCGGGATCTCGTCACCATTCACTCGACATTCGCCGCACCGTTCCGCGCGTTCCACTCTCGTTTACTCGTTTTCTCCTCTGCGAACGCGTTCGAGCGGACGCGTGGTCGCGCGCGATAATTGTCCGTGGATTCGTAACGCGACGAAGAAAGGTGGTAGAGGAGAAGAGACAAGAGGAAGGAAATAACTAGGAGCGCGTCGCGCGCGACGTCTCGGCAAAGACTGGCGAGGTGACCGGCCGCGAGTCGACGCCGACGTCGACGTCGACCTAATGCGCGACCGAGTCAATGACGGCAGGCGTGATTGGCCGAAGCGGCAGAGCTTCGGCTCTCTACATTGGCCGCCGTCGGCGTTCTTCTCGCCGGTCGACCACGAGTCGATGCGCTTTTTAATTAAACCGTTCGGATGCATCGATGAAGCGCGACGCGAACAACCGATCAAGGTTACCGATGTAATGGAATTTCACGCGACGTTCTATCCGATGTCCATTACCGTAATTCCTTCCCATATTACCGCTTCGTTTACGATACTTCTGCCGATAAGAATCGCGGCGAACGCGCCGGCGAGAAAACTCTGGTGGAAGCATTTACGTCGAGGAGGTTCGGGGGCTCGTGCTTTGTATCGTAAATGCCTATCGGTTGACGAAAAAGGACCGAAGGATAGGATGAATAATGGATGATACGGTTGCGCGAGTGGGCGCGGGACAGCGTCGTTTTTGGTCGTGCAAACGAAATTAAAGTCCGTGCGAACGCACGATACCGAGACACGTGATATCTTCGGTCTGCTGAATTTCATTGCATTTCCTGTACGATATTTAAATGAGAAAGAGCGACCGGTGGCGCAAACGCGTCGAACGCGTTGGAAAATCCCTGCCCGATCGAGATTCGCCGCGATACGTCCGGTCGAGACCTATTGGCCTGGACGCGTTTTATCTTGATGCGGGATAAAGAACAAAGTCGACGCGAGAGCGGGTAAATACGCGATTCGGAGGTATATCG